CACCAGAGCGGCTGGGTATGAGAGAAGGCTGAAATGAAATGCTTTACCGACCATTTTCCCACACAAGGAGCCCAAACGCCCTCGGAGAGACAAGAGACGCTGGACGCTCTCCTGAGCCGACAACCCGCTCCTGCAGCTGCCGCTTCTGCCACGTTCAGCGAACCGCCGGACACGCCACTCGTCACGGATGAAGCTGAACGCTCACCTCTCCCGTCAGTAAAACAAGCAGTAAGTGTAGCAACACAGTGTTCTCCAAATATATAATACCTGCAAAAAATGATTAAAGTCGTTTCACTGAATATCCTGATCATCTATGAAGCACACGACAGCTCTGGATGCTAATATTCAACAAAATCATTCATAATTGAATACGCTCGATGACACGATAGCTTACTGTTAACTTCTTCTGACAGAAATGTGAGCTCTTAACAACAAACACTCTCCCTCACGGTTACCATGGAGATGCATTTGCCGCACACGCACCACCGGTTTTGTCCTGCACTCGCTTCATCCCGCCCTTCCTGCTCGTCAGTTTGACGCTCGTTTTGTGAAACATCATCAGTGATGTCATCATTAATGTTTCACTCTGGTTCAAACTGAAAAGACTGATCAGATGACACGCTGATGTCGCCGAACAGTCCCTGCAGGGTCCCAAAGCCGGCCGGTGCAACCGAGGTACAACCATATGACGTCACTACCCAGAGTGCATTGCGACGCTAACAACAATGGCAACCTACGAGTTAAACTATTTTTACCATTTTTATAAAAATGAAGACATTAAGAAGGTATTTTACACCACTTTAATATAATCGATACTAACATTTATATTTTAAGAACCACGAAGTTTTGCAAACTGGGTTCCTTTTAAATAAAAAAGACTGAATACAACTGGTGGGCTTGGTTTATTTGGATAACATGTTAGCTATAGTTTCAGCAATGACTCAGGTGTTCGTAATCTTGTCTAAAATTAGCATGAATGTTACTCAGAATATGTAGCTATTACAACAGCAGAAATTACCTGGAAAAGACGTTGTTGCAACGTGTCTGGGCGATATGAGAAGGTCATCCAATACCACCTCATTTAAACCTGAATTAGCTCATACATGGACGTGAAAAAAAGACCAGGAAAAAAATGCCACAAGAGAAACAAGAGAAGGATGTCCACGACGAGCTAATTTAGAACAGAAGCAGCCCAAATCTGGACGTGCAGAAATGACTTGGAAAAGACGTTACTGCGACGTGCTCAAGGGACATGAGAAGGACATCCACGACGACCAAATTTAGACCAGAATTAGCTCTAATCTGAATGTGCTGAGGACGTCACAGTCTGCAGTTACAGAGGACCAAAACTGGATGTGAACAAACGTCGCTGCGACTTGCCTTTGCACAGTGGGCAGTGGTAACAGACAGCGTAAGAGCTTGTGATATGTTGTGAGGCTGTACACAGAAGCGTGTCCAAGGAGTGGCTTGGGGCAGCACATGCCACCCTTAGAATCTGATTGGCTATCCCAGATGCCACCCCACCAAGTTCCATTTAAATCGACTTTACGTTGTCCAGATAAGTCTTGGGGTTATGAATGCAGCAGCATGCCCCTTTAACATTGGTCTTTTGCCCCCAGCCAACAGAACATTTCTGTATTGCTAATATTTATTGATTTTTTTTCATACGGACATAAATTGCATCTAGAGTCTCACTCCACTCCAGTTGGTGGCAGTAATGCACCAAGAAGTATGTTGGTAACCACTTCAAAACAGCTTAAAGACGAAGAAGAATAGAAAAAAGGGCCCAATGTGGGACTCACAAATTCACTAGAATGTAAAATAAATATTTTGTGAGAGGGGCAACGACCCCCAACCCCCCACCCCCCAAACAATAACAACAAACAAACAAACAAACAAACAAACAAATACATAAACAAATAATAAAGCATAACCATAGATGCCACCCATGAATATACAAGTGCCACACCTGGGCCACCCCATTTCAGAAGGCCTGGACACGCCACTGGTCGTGCATGATGGAACTTTTGTCAACATGAACTTAGTTTAAAACGGATTGAAGGACTGAAAGGTTTCAGCTGTTATTTGTAAATACAAACAAACAATTGTTTCCTTCCCAGAATCAGAGTTATTGATAAATCTCTGCTGAAGAGTCTGAAATTCACAGCCATAAGCCATCTTCTTCTTCTTCATCTGTAACGGATACCTCTGACTGTGGAGAAAACAATTCCAGCTTTCTCCACTGATCTCACATTAAGAAACTTCATTTTGGAATTAATGAACAATCTGCCCGTGAAGACGTTTCAGATCTTCTTCTTTGTCTTCTGAAAGACTCGCCCTGTTTCTGATGCCATAGACACTCCTCCACGCTACTCACCAAACCACCTAATTCCTTTGGGTTTGAGCTTTTCTGCTGGGTGATCTCCTTGTTTTGTTTCCTGTGCCCCGTATCTGTCTGGATTGACCTGTTTCCGGGCGTTCCCTGCAGCAGCAGCTATGACCATTTCCTGATTCAGTGAGTTATGTTGGACCTGCTGTGTGTTTCTGCTGAGAAGACTCACATCAACCATGGGGATCTCCTCAGGACCGGGCCCGGGGTGGTTCGGCCCATTGGCCAACATGCGGTTTGGCTGCTCCACACACTGGTTCTGGTTTTGGTGTAGGTGACTGTGCATCTTCCTTCTCTGTTTCCTGAAAGCACAGTGATACAGTGACTGGTGGGATCCTTCTCTGACATCTAGCTCAGATGGGATGGTAGACTCTCATGTCTCTCGCTAGCATTCGGGTTCTGTTGCTTGGACTTTATTATGTGGTTTCTCCTGCTTGTTGCAGCTATATTATTAAAGCACGACAGTTAAGACTTTGGCGCTATGAGTGATCTAGTAATGAAAATGTTCTCATGGTGCATTTTACTGTAAAATACTCTAGCAGAGACAAACCGTAGGCATCATTAGCTAACGCGGTAATGTAGAAACAGTTCATTGCTGATCAATTTGCAAGACACCAGATTTTGTAAAAGTTGGCAGAGAAGAAATACTCAACAGTTAAGGAATTTGCATTCTTGGGGGTTATCTTTTCACCCTCTGTCACTTATCCAGGGTCAAGCCTTCTCCAGACACTCTCCAGTGCCTCCTGGAGCTCCTCACAAGTTCTTCCCAGATTGGAGAGGGTATATGATACCCACAGGGAGTCTGGGTCTGGCCCTGGGGTCTTCTACCAGTGGAATGCACCAGGAAATCCTCCAGAGGAAGGCAACCAAAAGGCATCCTAATCAGTCACATCAATGACCTCAGCTGGCTTCTCTCCTATCTTTTAGGCTCAGCCTGGCAACCATTTGGAGGAAGCTCCTTTCAGCTGCCCCATCTGGAATTTTGTTCTCTCGGTCATGATTAAAACTTCTAAGTGAGGGTTGAAACATCACCAAAGCTTCGCCTTTCAGCTGTCTCTCCTTCATTACAGCAAACAGAGCAATGCCCTCATTACTGCAGATGAAGCCCCACTACACTGGTCCATCTCCCAATGGGTACTACCATCCCTCACGAAGAAGACACAACTACAATAAAACTTCTTTATTTGAGGTAAAGACTCACTCCCAGCCCAGAGAGAGGAGCCCACATGCATGTAATTTAGATCTGTGACCATCCACTAGGTGTGTATCAGCAACCACAGCCTTTCAAACGCAGATATGCTGTGTGGACACAGGAGCCGCCTTTCCTTTCAGTAAATCGGACTCATCTGAAGGACCTCAGGTTCTCAGTATCCAGGTGTGGAACAGGGAAATGTTGTTCTGTCATTGATGAGCCCTTCACTCACACCCTCAGTGAGTCATGGCGGACGTCTGCTCATACTGCTACTAATAATAATAATAGATTTTATTTGTAACGCACTTTACATTTCAATGAAATCTCAAAGTACTACAGTAGGAAATCAGAAACAATGTAAGGAATTATTTAAAACAATGAATAAAAACAAAAAAATAACATAAAACCATACAATGCTAAGTTAACACATGGTAAAGCAACAGCAATACCAATCAGTTTGGAAAAGCTTGTGTAAATAAAAATGTCTTCAGATGTTTTTTTAAAACATTCAACACTCTGAGGTGCTCTCAAGGTTTCAGGGAGTGTGTTCCACAGGCGTGGGGCTGCTGCTTGAAAAGCTCGATCTCCCATGGTATGAAGTTTTGTTCTGGGCTGTTGAGAATTCTGGGAATTGAGAATTTCCAGAGCGAAGATTTCTTGAGGTGATGTGGATAGTAAGGAGCTCTTTAAGATAAATAGGAGCATTTCCGTGGATACACTGATAGGTAAGGAGACCTTGTTTGTATTTAATTCTATAGGGGATTGGTAACCAATGAAGAGACTTCAGTACAGGTGTAATGTGGTCACACTTGTCACCCCTTGTCACAATTCTGGCAGCACAGTTCTGGATGTGCTGAAGTTTCTGTAGGCATCCACTAGAGATTCCGGTAAGTAAAGAACTGCAGTAGTCTAGCCTGGACGAAACAAAGGCATGGATCAACTTCTCAGCATCTGCTTGGGTAAGACTTGCTATGTTTTTTAGATGGAAAAATGATACTTTAGAAAGGTGACAGACACGATTTTCAAGTGATAAATGTTGGTTCAGTTTGATTTCGAGATTAGTGGTAGATTTAGAAAAGGTTATGTTACTACCTCATATGGTAATATTTATTAGGTTAGAAGATTTGACCTGATGAGCAGTACCTCTGATTTGCTGCTGTTTAGCTGGAGACATTTTTCAGACATCCATGCCTTTGTCGCACCCAGGCATGCACTAAGAGCAGAAAGTGTAGATGACGAGGAAACAATCAATTTTGAGATAAAGCTGTGTATCATCAGTGTAAGAATGGAAGGATATCCCAAAATTTCTAAAAATATCCCCCAGTGGGAGCATATATATATAATAAAGAGAATTGGGCCAAGAACGGATCCCTGGGGGACCCCACAAGTAATGTTGTGGGGCGATGATCGTACTGATCTGTCCGAGGTTTCTTCCTGTTAAAATGGAGTTTTCCTCTCCACTGTCGCGACATGCTTGATCAGAATGAGGATTGTTGTAATGAGCCAGTGACTCGATGTGACTGCTGAGTTTTGTTGAATTGAATTCACTTGCTAGCCAAATGTTTGAGGACGTCGATGCATCTATTATTAACAGCAAATGTTCAACCTATCAAAGGAATATTACACTCCATCTAAATTGCTGGAGTTTGATTCTGAGCGTTGCCCTTTGAACATTTTTCATCCAGCCATGGATGAGACATTGAACTGTTAAACATTTCACAATCTTTCTTAACATTTCTTATTTGCCAAGTCTTCTTTTTTGGGGGTATTCACGTGTCTTAGTTGGGTATTAGCCTTTTGTTACTTCTCTAGCTACTCCAGGTCAGGGATGAGGTCCTGCTTCTAGTGGAGGAGTTTAAGTATCTCAGAGTCTTGTTCACAAGTGAGGGAAAGATGGAACAGGAGATCGACAGGCGGATTGGTGCTGCGTCTGCAGTGATGTAGGCGTTGTACCGGTCTGTCGTGGTGAAGAGAGAGCTGAGCCGGAAGACAAAGCTCTCGATTTGCTGGTCGACCTGCGTTCCTACCCTCACCTATGGTCACGAGCTTTGGGTAGTGACCGAAAGAATGAGATCGCGGATACAAGCGGCCAAAATGAGTTTTCTCCACTGAGTGTCTGGACTCTTCCTTAGAGACAGGGTGAGAAGCTCGGTGATTCGGGAGGGGCTGGGAGCAGATCCGATGCTCCTCCACATCAGGAGGAGCCAGCTGAGGTGGCTTGGGCATCTAGTTAGGAAGCATTCAATGAACAGCTGATTTGTTTAATTTGGTGATAAACCGCTCCTGTAGACACTAATGAAGGCTGAGGAGACATTTCAGATTAAGGAGATAAAAGACAAACGCACAGCGAAGGGATAAGTTTTGCTTTTGGTTTTACTAAATGGACACTAGGGGGTGCTAAAAGCAAGCCCAAACTGCCTAGTGTGCATTTAAAAAATCCTGCTCTTAAAGGTGTCATGTACTCACGTTCTTAAGTGATTGGTCTGTGGTCTCTAGTATGAATGAACCATTTGTTTTATTTTCTGTGGAGGAAAGTGCTTGTGCCCTCATTTCAGGGGACAGGCGCTCGTCAGAGGGGCGGAGGTCCGAAAACAGCAGGATTTGGGGGCTTACTCATCAATATACATGATATGGAAACGCTTTAGAGTTTTTCCCGAACTTCATAAACATCTTTTTGTCACATTATTGCTCCCCTGTGCCTTGGGTTTTACCTTAGCTGTGTCCACCTGCCTCTTGTTACCTGATTACCCCTCCCAGAGTGTACACAAGCCTTGTGTGTAGCTTGTGAGTTTGTCGGTTCGTACTTGTTACGCGTCAGTTTGTGTTCACACCTGTCTACCCCGTCGTGTCTGCACCCCTGACCATTAAAGAGGAACCAGATGTCCATTGCTGTTTTGCCTGGGTTGATCTAGCTGCCTGAAGGATCCGCTCTTCCTCCCTCCCCTTCCCTCCACATCGCGGCACTTTTCTTTATATCACAGAACACCTGTATTATAACTCCTTTAAAATAGGTGCGACATGTTAGTTTTTCATGTGTCAGTGGCCGTTGGAGCAATTGCAGCTCAGTTGGAAGAGTGGTGAGCGGTTCAACCCTGCCCAAGTGTCCTTGGGCAAGATGCTGAACCTCCTGTAGAAAATACCGGAAGATCAGTGACACTAGCTCTGTTTCTGATTTACAAACATGTTTCTATTAATGACGCATTCTTTTTAAGCACCTTTTCTTGTCGTTTTCTACTTTTGGGTCTGATTCTTTAACAGCATTTAATTGAAAAAGGTTAAATTTGTGGTCACATGAGAACAAATTCATGAGCCACTTCTAGTTTCTGCTAGCAGCAGGTTAACGTGAAGGTTTAATGTGCTTCATAAATAAACTTCTCCTTCAACGACATACTTGGTTTTGCAGTAGGCCACCACACAAACGATGCCCACCACTAACAACGCCACGCAGATGCCTGTGATGGTCAGCACCCGCCTCTGGTAGAGCTCCTCGGCCTCTGTGGATGCAAACACACGCACACGCACACACACGCACACACCCAAGCACGCATGTTCACACATTCAAGCATGGGAGAAAAGAGGACACAGACACACAGACATAGAGCATGAGCGCCACTCCATTTCCAGGAAGACCAGAAACAGTTTTCTCCCTGCTTTCCTCTGCCGCCATCATTTCCCCTGTGCTGTCTGAAACGCAGCTCCTGCTCCGTCACGTCTAACAACGCTGAAGTCGTACACTGTTTCTACAACACTGACAATAAATAAAACCAGCTCCGATGAAACGGCACACATCCTGACGTAGACTCTCTGCTGTCCCTACACAGACGTAAACACAGTGGCCATGGGGATAAATGTAACAGATGACACAAGCGGGGATCTGACGACATGCCTGTGTGGATCAAATAAACATAAACAACAGTTTGTTGACACCACAGCCAAGTAAAATCTTACTATTCACATAGATCTCAAGTTAGATCGGATTTTGTATCGGTTATGATTTTAATCCCTAATGAACAAGCTACATTTAATCAGATGTTTGCAGAAGACTTAGCATCACTTTGGTGATCGCAAAAACAGGAACAGCTTTAAAGGACTCGAGCTTTTGTGTAGGCAGCAGAGCTGAAATGGCCACATCCTGCTGTGAAGAGAGGAAACGTTTCTTTTACTCTGAGGTGAAATTTGGCGATTGACTGCTTTGAAGTGACTCTGTGTTGATCGTCACCACCATCCGACGGTGGCTTTCTCAGTGACAGAAAACAGATGATTTATTTCAGATGTTATCGTCAGTGTCATGAAGAAAACAATCAGCTCTGGAGATTTTATTTATTGATTTATCAGAATCAGCTCCTATAAATCCGAGAGCATCTTGAGTCGGAAAAAGGGTAGAAGGCCTTCTCCGGGTCAGGGATGAGGTCCTACCCAAGGGGAGGAGTTTAAGTATCTCGGGGTCTTGTTCACGAGTGAGGGAACACTGGAGTGTGAGATCGACAGGTGGATTGGTGCTGCGTCTGCAGTGATGCGGGTGTTGTACCGGTCTGTCGTGGTGAAGAGAGAGCTGAGTCAGAAGGCGAAGTTCTCGATTTACTGGTCGTTCTACGTTCCTACCCTCACCTATGGTCACGAGCTTTGGGTAGTGACAGAAAGAACGAGATCGCTGTTCTTCAGCTTGTGAATCAACGCAGAAGGCTAACAGAAGAGCTGGTGCCAGAGCTTTTCTGGCACTCTTGCTAGACTTGTACAGAAATAATGTTAATTCAATGTTACTGATACTGTGGAAATAACTGAATGTTTGTTTTGGAACGAGCAAACCGTGTTGAAGATCTGCCACCAGAGGGCAGTATGATGAAGGTACTAATCCAGATACTCCATCTGTATGCGTTAAGGCCAGAAGTGCTTTGATATGACCTTGAGACTGTAGTCTACAGGTTCCACAAAGAGCTGTGTGAATACCTTGTCTATGTTTGTATTCATATATTTAAATGTAGGGCCTGCTGTGGTGCAACAATCTGGAGAGCGAGCACAAAGACACGTGGACAGAAAGAGCAACAACCTGAACAGGCCATGGAGGGGAAAGGAAGGGAGCATAAAGAAAAACAGCAAAGTGATGAGGAAGGAAGGAAATAGGTCAGACCAAAGGAGAGGGAGGGAGCAGGGGCGTGTCGGGAGAATGGCCCGGAGAGGACACGGACCCCCAGGAAGGAAAGACTGACCTGACTTTGTCCCCTTATCAACTAAGTGGATTACAGAGGTCCTTGGATTGATGGTTTCAGCTAAATTATGACCTCTTGAGTCCAACAACAAGCCAGGAACATCTTTAGACACAGAATTACCACCGAGTGTAGCTGATGCTGACCTAAACAACAATGCCTAGATGTGAGCTGTGATCAAATTCTGTCATCTTGATCCAAACCATCACATTTACTTTTCCTGGTTCCCCTCCCACAAAAGCTCCAGACACGCCGCTGTCGGATAGGAGGGGGATGGGGGCGCTGAGGGAGGACATGGGGAGAGTTTCTATATGGGGCCTCTTTTGGGACTGACAAGCACTGGCCTGGCATTGTGTGTGTGTGTCACGGGGTACTGGTACAGGAAGGGAAACGGGCACCGTGGGGCCAACAGCAATCTTGATTTGGGACAGGCGAGCTCTTGATTCTGACAGTGAGTCAATCAAGGGCATAATAATAAGGACAGCCTCTGTCGTCAAGCTGTTTGCTTGCTTTTGGCAAAGCTTTGCAAAAATACTCACAGCTTGGCGTTATGCAGCAGGCTGCAGAAGCCAATATGCATAGTGCCAAAGCTCAGAGCATGAGCCAGATCCTGAAACTTTCTTTGATTTTTGGACTCGTGTAGCAGTTTCCCTGGTACTGCTGCATTTAAAAAAATAAAAACTTTAATTTGGCCATTCCTTTCTGTTTCAATTCACCTCTGAGCTCTCCATCAAATAACACCTCCTTTTCCAATTAACTTGTCTCTTTCTCTGATGTCTACTTCTCTAATTTTGCCAGATTAGAGAATAGAGTGAATGCATGAAAAAGAGGTCAGGTGTTTTGTTTCCGAGCTGGTGGGCAGGAGAAAAGAAGGGACAGGCTGAGAGAGAGACAGATCCAGTTGGTTTCAGAGAGAAGATGGCACAATAATGTGTGACTGTGAGGGGAGGTTTGCAAACCATTTAAGCACAATAAAGAGGAAAAATAATGTTCCATACCCATAAATTCAATTTTGAGAAGCTCTGCCAGCGCAGAAAGTTGTAAAAAGAAAGAGACACAGGGTCAGGTGTGATGTCCACTTTGGAGCAGACAGGAATGTTACCACGTTCCCGCACGTGTGTTTAGGTGTTTGTTGCTGTCAGTCATTTAGATTGACACCGGCTAATAACAGACAGGCAACTCAGACAGCGTCAGCTCTGTGACCCCCCAGGAACGACGGGGAGGAAACGGAAAGAAAAAGAAACCGGAAGCAAAAAGGGAGAAAACGAAGTCAAAGCAGAAGGAAACAGACACCGGCAGGCGGGAAAAGGCATGCAGAGACAGAGAGACAGCAAGACGTAAAGCCGCAGCACTTACTGCTATATTTAATAGACCTCATTTCTGGAGTAAACAACACAGGACAGGAGTTCAAAACAAAACAACAAGAAAATGAAAAGATGTAAGGGAAGGGAACAAAGCAGTGAATTATTCTCCAACATAAAAACACACTACACTTGATGAGGCTGACACAGCAAATGGGGTGAATGCTGTGACTCGTTTGACTAATGGCAGTTGTGTGCCTTCGTATTGATTCCAGCCGACCTCTACTGCTGCTTACAGCTATTAGACTCTTTCACATAATTTACAGGGAGATCATCCCAGTATTCCCAATTTCTACACACGTTACAGACGAGGGACGAAGAGGAGTCGGCCAAAGCTCCCGGCCGAGCTGATCTAAACTCAGACTTCATCTTTCTCCAACAGAAGTTCACACAGACACACTTCAGCACAGAGACGACGCTCGACGATGAGGTTGAAATAAGAAACGTTGCACATAAATTCAAACATTTTACCATGTAAACGTATTTCTAAAGAAGACAAACAGCAAAACAAGATGGTGTAGCATGAAGCGACAGAACTTAAGTGGTGAAAACGAGAGTTAGAGGCCCATCTCCATCCCTCTGTTTTGTCTCTGTGTGACTGCTTGGAGAGCAACGTGATCACAAAGAAAACCAACTAGTCGCTTTTTGTGGTGAATAAACGTGTCTCACCATCACCCTCCATGCAGTTACAGGAGATCTACCAAGCACACCCCATTTGCATGATTTAAAGGAGCAGTCTAACATTTTGGGAAATCAACATTTTTACCAAAGTTGCAAATGGCACCATCTGCATGAAAATATCAGTGGTTTGTGTTTTTAAACATTTCGGCTCATGTGCTGTCAGCTACCCTACAATAATGTGTTTGAAAATAAAACAACAGTTGATGACTGTGATAAATTGTTTCAGTGGTCCAGCTGCCCCGTTTCCATGAACTGATGCTCTTCGCTGCTTTTGTAGCAGCACCGGCTGTCCATATGACAGAATACCCGGAAAAAAGTACTTTAATGAATTGGTAACCTCTAAACAGCTCATCTTTGTCATTTGATGAAAGAAATCAGTGTTCTAAAAATGTGAACCTTGGATATTTTTGACTTTTCTTCATACACATTTTGAAAACTTTGCCTGTGAAAAGATCGAAGTAAAGAAGTTCTCTGCACAGTGATGCTTTCAGGGTGTCACTTGACACATCACAGAGTTCTTGGTGTGTTTCTGCGTAAGATAAATGCAGACTTCTAAAAACCTAACCAAACTGAAAACCTGTAGCAGCTTCACATAAATCATCACTAAGGCTCGGTTCACATCTCTATCCAACAATCTAATGCCCCTTTCCCAACAGCACCACTCAGCGTAACTCGAATTGGTTTGGTTCAGTTGGACAGCCTTTTCCAACAGCACGGTTCCGTTTTTCCCCCATTACCTGCTTCCTTTTTGTTTCTGGTGTGTCCCAAAAATGCAACGTCACTAGCCTCTTTTATAGGACAGACCATCGCGTCATTACAGAGGGATAAATCTGAATTTGTGGATCTCGTAATGCGGCAAGGAGCAAAGGGGAAAGGTGATAAAACTTGATTCTGATGCGCTTAGCCTCGTAGTAATATTGCCGCATGAGCCCCTCGCCTCTGACGGTTAAATGCGTGTCAGCCCCGCTAATCCCTTTGGAGCCACTGTGGGAGGCCCCCCCCCCCCCCCCCCTGCAACAGAGGGTGGTCGCGGTAGTGCTGCGCGCCGAGTGCCGGCTGGAAGGCATATAAACACAGATAAAAAATGGCCTCTCACTAGTATCTTTCAACCACCTACAACATGGCAAGCTGGACGGACGCGGAGACCATGGAGCTTTTGGCCGTGCAAGCGGACGAACAGATTAGTCGTCTTTTTACGGGGACGGTGAGAGACAGCCAGCTGTTCGACAGAGTGGTGAAAATACCGGCTGAGCGGGGCGTCGAGCGGGACAAAAAGCAGGTCACATCAAAGCTAAAGTCCTGAAAAAGAAATTTCATCAGGCTGACGTGTCTTCCATCTGACGCTGAATGCCGGGGGGGGGGGGGGCAGCTACCTCCCTTTATCCCGTCTTTGTTTGAGAGGTGCCTGATGGCAGTTTATTCTAGCTTCAGCTTTGCTACTATAAATGCCAAAATCCTCCCCAGGGAGCCGCGGCAAATCCCGTTTTGCTAACGCTACGGTCCTGTAAAAACAGCTACTGACTGTCAGTCACTGATTGGCTGGGGGGGAGTCACTTATTGTCCTATTGTTTCTGCCTGCTGGCGCTTCTGGGTTTAGAGTCTGACAAACAGCCAGAAACTGATCGGAAAGTCCAATATCACCGCCAATGTTGTGCTGTGTATACAGAGCACCT